TGATGGCGGCCACCAATTTGCTGATCTTTCGCTTCTCAGACAACGATGGGATGAAACTGGCCTTCGGTTCCGGTCTGTTAGTGACGGGATGTATGAGCTTCTCATACGTGAAGAAGTCGATGAACGGCTCGTATGGGTTATATCCCGGGTCCGGGAATTTGCCTTTTCTGGCCCTCTGGATGCTCTCCACGTCATTGTCCGTTAGGATCACATTCTGACCCGTCATCCGATCCTTCACTGTTCGCCAATACATCGGATCTTCCATTTTGTTGAGAAACTCTTGCATTTCATCCACTTTTGGAGGTTTTATTAACTTCTTTCCGCTTAAGTCATACCCGATGTGCTCGAAGTCGTTATACCACTCGTAGGGTATGTTTCCGATCGTATTCCTCAAGTCCTGTCAAAACAGATGTTTTCATTTAATGTCACATTAATTATGCAAATCTTAAGATAATCTTAAGATAAGACACCTCTTCGTCGGACGAGTCGATCACATATTCGTCATATTTCGCCACATTTTTACTCTTCTTCTTTGGCTTCAATTTGTTCTCAATTTTATTGATGTCTTTCTTCTCACTGTCTTTATGCTTGTCATCCGTTTGTTTGTCTTTAGTCTCAATCAGTTCCAAGTCATCGTCCGATTGGATGTCATTGTCTTCGTCTTCACTCAACTCTTTTAAGTCGATCTGAAATTGAAGTCAACGTTAGCCTCAAATCCAATCAAACATTCATTCAATACATTCTCATTCATGTCTTCTATGCCCTCATCTGATGCCTGGTCCGACACATCACTAGAATTGCTCTCATTATCCAATTCCTCTTCGGATACTTCCTCTTCAGACTCCTCGTCGTATTCGTCATCAGACTCTTCAGAATCCATGGATTTGTTGACCACATGTTTGGCATCACTTTTCTCGTCATTTCTCTCTTTCGTCTTATTTTTAGCCAATTTTTTCTTGGATTTGGCCATAATTTCGATGCAATCGATGTCTTCAACTAACAGTGATTTGTCTCAACACTAGACGTGTTGTGAAGACATTGAATGGAAAACACGTGAAAAGTTTGAAACCGTAATAAAACACACGTTTTGGTGGACTCTTCACAAACAGGACTCATATGGAGAGACATCTGTACGCAGAAAATGGACTCAAATTTAAATGCTTTGCAAACAATCATTAAAATACAGGGAGAGTGGAGACACCGACTACAGGAGTACCTGTGCTGTGGCTGCGAGAGCTACCTGTGCCGCACAGGTTCACCTACAGGTGCTTTGTCTACTGTTAGCGCTATTTTACAGTCTAATACATTTTGAATGCATTGTAGGGAAAGCGAAAATATAGCCAATTTTGAGACGACTTTCCGTTTGAATGAATGAATTAAAGCTTACATTAAAAGCAAAGAAACGAAAAGTTTTGAAAACTTTTGAATTAATGATTGAATAGAAAAGAAATGTTTGAATGATTGAAAGAAAGACAAATTGAGAGAAATGATGGATCCATGGATTGATCCATGGATTGAGAGTTTATATGATATTATAATTAG